ATTCTGCAGTCCGTAATTCAAAACAAAAGGGTAATTCTTTCGGAATAGTTGCCTCTTTCCTTGAGTTTTGGATAGTATTTTTTCCTCGAGTTTTACAGGAAAGGACTGACTGTTAATTTCGATGAAAAGTTTTGTATGATCCCACTGTTGAGATTCGCTAAAAGCAGACCGTATGAATGAAATCTTTCTGCTATTCAAAACTAAGCAAAACTAGAATTTCTACTATTGCACATTGCATACGTTCGTATTCGAAGAGCGCTCATCAAAGCTGTGTCCCGATTCCTATTCCGGTGTCATTTCCTACAGGTGTGTTTTATGTATGCTTGAAATGCATGAAGATAACAACGTCATGAACTCGTTATCCACAAGAGATTCAACTGTTCATAATTTCCCCGACAATATGTTCATTTTGCTGCACAAATTCTTGTGTCAAATTTGGCGAGCTTTTGTATTACCATATCGTAAGATCTGAACAATCGAGTGTGAATCAGTTTTTATCTCATAAATGTGACCCTTATAAACATACAACTTGGTGATAATGACAATAACAGAACATAACGAAGAAGGCCTATTAGGCAGATTTGGCTTCACACTATTCTTTTGTTACCTGAGGACACGTGAGCAAGACAAAACAACCAAAATTGACCATGCCAATTACGACATATACGTCGAATAGTTAGAAAGAAATGGGCCTCGTTGCAAAACAAATCCCAAAAAATGACTTAGCTTCTTTTCAACCGAAGGTAATGAAAAATCATGACAACTTTGGTAGTGGGCCGATACAAACTTCATCGTTTCTAAATAATTCAAGGCTTTCTATTCTCGAGATAATAAAAAAGAGATTGGATGAATTCCAAAGCGAATGTGGCACTGCACCGCCTAGCTCCAACTGTCGCATTCCGGTGTGAAAAACAAGTGCGCGATTGTCTGAAACTGTGTAAATATCTGTGGACATTGTGATATTAAAGGCATACAAATGCATCAAAAAGACTCAATTCAGAATTTTGTATAAGTTAAGCTATTTCATGTTGGAAATGATCTAGCGGCTCGAATCGACCACATTCTCAAAGCATTGTGTACACAAGCAAATAGAAGAAAGACTTCCTGCCTGGGTACACAATCGTAGAAGCAACAAACGCAATTCCGAAGTGATTCTAGGAAAAAAAACTTACAAGATCTGCTGTCTTCGTTTACTTAAACCGAAATATTATGGTTTGTACAGCTAGCACAAGGAATACCATACATGTATATAACACGAGTTCACTAAAAATGAATAACAGATCACTTTTCTTAACTATACGAGAAAGATATAAAAAGCGCAAAGGCATGATAGGATGATATCACTCACCTATTCGTGATCATTTACCAACGAACAACAGTAAACGCCATCATCCAAAGGACATGGGGACCCTTCACCGTTTGTGCAATCTTCGTGCGCCCATCTTTTGCAAACGGTGCATTTTAGCCACATAGTGTTCTCTTTATCCGAAGGATTTCTTGGATCCCGTCTAAAGCAGACTGCGCAAAAATTGACATCGTCCGTTCCGTAATTGGGTAGCGGTGTAGGTTCCTGTTCGAGACCCTGTTTTTTCTTTCGGGATGATCTCTACAAAAAGAAAAAAATGATTGAATTGTTTCGCTCAAAAGAATTCAAAATAATTACCGGCACTAGTTTACGTATTGGTGAGCCTTTACGTGGTCGTCCAAGAGGGAGATCCCCTCGTGGTGCCAACTGCGCAATCCGGTCTGGCCTTGTTTTTGAACATTTTAGGCGCACAGTGTTCTCTGTCTGAGACCTCATAACTTTCATCGATTGAAGAACTTCTTGAAGACATTTGTTAACTTCCATGTCGGGAATTTTTGATACTTTTATGATGTTGCATCGGAGTGTGGCGTAGTCCTGGAAAATATACACTTCATATACACTCCCGAACAAATGGCAGGCATAAGGTGAGGGAAACCACCTACGGCTTCAATTCCATGAACGACATTATTATTCAAATCGATGATGTCAGTTTGGGACAACGAATCACTTTAGCTGTTTAGATGTCGGTGATATTGATCATAGTTGCAGTTGGATCGCGATGGTTCTCCTGACTTCCCAAGGTACTCTTGGAAGCGCAAACTCTACTACCTAGAAAGGACCCATAGAGAAATCCACTAAAGCTACAATTTTTCATCGCAAGAAAAATCTTAACCTGAAGAAGCGTAAATTAAGCTAGCATGTATGTGGAAAGCAGGCGACCCCAGATCGAATGTTTTCTTGACAGTCACAGCGGTAGGCATAACCACAAGCTCCACAAGAAGTCCTCGTACAATGATTGTTCACCTAAAACCAATGCACCACAGTTAATAGCTTACTTTTGTCTGCATCTCACCATAGGATCACATGGACAATCCCAGATGAAAACATAGGACAGCTCCCCTTCACGATTTTCCACGGGCCGCTCTCACCAATTTATCTCCCGTCCTCCTTCTGCGCTGAAAACACTGACAGCTTTCTTCGTGCTGTTGATGTTGATAAAAGAGGCGACGCCGTCCTTCTAGTAACCCTCTTTGCATCTGTATAAAGACAAGCATTTAGAGATAGAAATATGAGCATCAAATTTACAGATAACCTTTATGATGCGATCCTCCTATTTCGGCTGTGATGAGATAATAGTTCTAGAAGGCATCATGCTGCATTGTTCGCTTCGTGTCTGGCAACTCGTGCTTCAGACGCTTGTGAAAGCGTTCTCCCAACATAGAAGTATTCATACACGCATTTTGCCGCCCGAACCCTCCCCACTGCTCGACACGATGGCTCCTGGAATCCGAGAGATATATGTAAGCACGTTCACACGCAAACAATAAGCCATACCAATTTTCTCATGTACGTAAATAGTGTGTTCCCAAGTTGCAGTAGATGTTAGGTCAGAAATCCTGAGTATCCAGTGGTGAATTCCTCGTAATCCGTAGAGCGACATAGTGACCGTACCTTTCCGATTACCATGCCAGTTCGATTCTTCTTCAAAGACCATATACTGAGAAACGGAAATCGTCCGAATGCAAAATTTTTTAGAAGGTTACTGACTTCCCAAGTTTGCTCCTGCAGTTCCTTTTGATCGCCTGGAGAACGTGGAAACAGCAAAGCAATTTCACTGCTGCGGAGTCCGGAAATGCTCGTTTAAACCCGTTAAAAAAGCTGTTTGTATCATCCGTCATGAAAAATTTCGGGTCAAAATCGGGAATCTTTTCCTTAATGGCAGCAAACAGCTCGAAAACTTCGTCCTCTGTCATTCTGAAACAGCCTAGTTGCGTAAGAAACAACCCTGCAAGAGGAGTACCTGTGGGAGAGTAAATATGCGGCGGGTAATCCCATGTCCCACTCGTCGGCGACTATCACTGTGGCCAATCTGAGTGAATACCTGGTTAGATTGAACGTATCATCGAGAGATATGCCACGACGACTGTATTCACGTAGCCAGGAGACTTGCACTGGAGTAATCACCACTGAAAGCAATCAGTGCGGAGGTGTTGGATATAGGATGGTTTGCTAGGATGAAGCTTGTACCTAATAAGAAGCCATCGCCACTTTCATCAAAAGGGCGAACATAGCGCTGAAATTCCGTCATCTGAAGATTGTTCATGAATCCTGATTTCAACCGACTCCAAGTCTGTTTCATGCCTTCTTCCTGGTTCCATTTTGTTTCGTATGGCGATATTCCTAGAATAAACACATTCAACGACCTATCCTTCTCTCACAATTAATCCACCTTATATCCCTCCCGGTGGTGTAATAGAGTCGAGTGCGCTGTTGTTGGTTCCTGCAGTCCATTCTTATCCGCCTTAACACTTGATTGACACTGTATCCGTCTTTGAGTAAATTGACAATGAAGCTCTCTGAATCCTTGTCCATTCTTAACGCTGCCGGTACTTCTGGATGGCCGCAGTGAGTGTTGCAAAATGTTGCGGTGATGCCGGCATCTTCTTGTTTCACCTGAATTGCTGAGCATATCTCCAAGCTGGAGGGATTTCCTCAAAAACGCACCTTAAGGAATGCAGTACAATACGCAACTATTTTCTTCGATTTTCTTCCTTGACTGAAGGCATAAGCTGGGAAGGGAAGAGCTCGGTTGCATCGAAGGTAGGAAATTTTTCTGTCTTCGTATGCCTTCGCGGAGGTTGTCGCCCATTGCAATACATTCTCTTTTTCTTCGTTTCTGCGCCACACCTACACAATCCAATTAAATTTTATTCTCACAAGCGTGAGTTAAACCGACCTCACACTCGCTTGCATCTGCGAAGGTCAACGTTTTAATGCGATATTCGTCCGCGGTACGTGAATGCGCATTTTGTGCGTGGTTTACGAGCTCTTCGTGGGTCTGAATTTCACAGTCGAATAACACAAAAACGGAAGAGGTGAAGACATATTGCGTACCTTAACTTTTTCTGCACAGAGTGGACACTGAATTTGATTTTCAATTGTATTAGAGTGATGCTTTCGCCACTTGTGCGTCTTCAACGCTGCTTTGGATGTGTACGACATGTGGCACTCATTACACTTATAGGTAGCCTGGGGATCAGAAGATGTCCCCTCATCGGTATTTCCCTTTTTGATCCTTTCGATTTGCTGTTTTGTATAGCCATGCTTCGAAAAAAGGTGACTGTACAGCAAGTGTCTCTGATCAAATTCGCGCTTACATTCAGCGCATGAAACGAGCATATTCTGGGAGGACTGAGCCTGAAGAAGAAAATCAGTTGTCTTGACCTCTCTTACTACCAACTTGAGTAAGGCTGGTGTCAGAGCTCGCGATCCGTCGCAGGTTTCGCTGATTTTGTGATTTGCGCGAAACTGAAATAAGCTGGAGCGTTTTCAAATTTCCCGCAGTTTCGCGGGCGCTACCGGCTCGGCCGTGCTCGCCGCGGCGGCGCCCTATAACGTGAAAAAAGTAGGGGGGGGGGTGATCGGGGCACTTTCGATTCCTGTGATCCGTCGCAGGCTTCGCGCGGATCGCAAAAATTGCAAGTGCCCCATTTGAACATTTGAAACACTGAATATGAAACAAGTGGAATCATGAGCAGTCGTCATTCAGCCATCACTATCAAGCAGAAGTGGCGGCGGGATTGGAGAACACCTTGCAGTATTGATCGGGCACTTGTGATTGACCCGTCGCGTGAATCGCGCAAATCGCGAAAATCAGCGAAACCTGCGACGGATCGCGGATTCTGACACCAACTGACATAGGCTGGCGCATACGCGTCAGCATTTTGGTTTAAATTTTTACGCATACGCCCAACTTTTCCCCAATTTCTTGAGCTGTTCTATAGTCGATACATTAGCATACCTAAAAACCACGTGACCCACAGAGTAAGCAACTATTCTTTAGTTCGGCAGAGGTCTTCCATACCTGATGTAAATGTCTGTTAAGT